AACCCTGTGAAGAGCTTGGCTCCCTGACATTCTAGAGCGTGCGCTCTAGTTGGGGAAAGAGATAATGAAAAAGGCAAATAGAAAATCATTAAAGATTATCGCAAATGCTTTAAAGAAATTAAGCAAATTAAGTGGCTTGAGTGGCCAAGAGCAGAGGTATGTTAAATCAAATGTTCAAAGATACCTCCACCCTCCACACGTTCAAGGAGGGTTCTCACAAACGTGTTATCTGAGCATAGAAATCGTGACGACCTGGTCATTGGAACCCTTGGGGAAAGTGCATCCCAGGTGCAGGGAACAGCTGTGGATGTCAGCCTAAGGGAATACACCTGCAGTGTTCTAGGAAAGATGATAGGAGGCCATTGTGGTGGGAGTGGGGTGTGTGGGAAATATGGAACATCAAATCAGAGAGAGACACTGCAGTCGAAGCAAGCAGCAGTCAGCTCGTACAAGACCAGAACCTGAGTACCACGGAAAGCTGTCCGAGGGATTTAAGCAGAAGAGAGAAGTGATTTGATCTCATGTTTAAAAGATACCGATAGAGTAAAGTAGCCCAGAAATAAACACATGCACATACAGTTAACTAAGTTTTGACAAAGGAGCCAAAAATACTCCCAAACACTAACTCAAAATAAAGTCAACTTATATGTAAGACATGAAACCATAAAACCCCTAAAAGAAAACATAAGGGAAAAGCTCCTAGATATTGGTCTTGGCAATGATTTTCTTTGGATATGATATCAAAAGCAAAGGCAATCAATAAGCAGTGAGACTACATCAAACTATAAAGCTTCTCCACGGAAAAGAAACAGCAGAGTGAAGAGGCAACCTATGGAATGGGAGAAAATATTTGCAAACCATATATCTGAAAAGAGATTAACATCCGAAATATGTAAAGAACTCATGTAACTCAATAGCAAAAAAATAAAATAAAATAAAAATCTGATTTAACAGTGGGCAGAGGACCTGAACAGACATGTTTTCCAAAGCAGACAGAAATACTCACAGGTACATGAAAAGATGCTCAACGTTACTAACCAGCAGGGAAATGCAAATCACAAGCAGGATTAGGTATCACCTCACACCTGTTAGAATGACTAGTATCAAAGAGACAAGAGATGACAGGTGTTGGTGAAGATGTGGAGAAAGGGGAACCCTCTGACACTGTTGGTGGGAGTGCAAAATGGTGCAGCTACTGTGGAGAACAGTATGGAGGTTCCTAAAGAAATTAAACGTCTATCATACGACCCAGAAATCCCACTTGGAGTTATATAGCTGGAAGAAACTAAATCACGGGATTGAAAAGATACCTCCACCCTCCACGCGCACTGCAGCTCTAGTCACAACAGCCAAGACGTGGAACAGCCCGGTGCCCACGGACAGAGGAATGGGTGTGAAGAAGAAGAAGGTGTGAGATGCATGTATTCAGCCATGAGGAAGAAGGAAATCCTGCAGTTGAGATAACACAGATGGGCCTTGAGGCCATGATACTGAGTGAAGGACGTCAGGTGGAAAAGGCAAGAGTGTAAAATCTCACTTATATGTATACTGTTTTTAAAAAAAAAGCTGTCTCAGTCAGAATAGCATGCAACTCTTGATCTTGGGGTTGTGATTTGAGCCCCACATTGGGCATAGAGATTACTTAAAAAAAAGTTTTTTAAGATTAAAAAATGCCGAATTCACAGAAACAGTCGTCTGGTGGTTTCCAGAGCTAGGAAAGCAGGGAAGTGGGGAGTCGGTGGCAAAAGGGCACGAACTTCCGCTTACAAGGTGAATAAGGTCGGGGGTCTAGTGCCCAGCCTAACAGTGCTGTATTGTGTACTTGAAAGCCGCTAAGAGACAGTAGTCCTCAAATAGTCTCCCCACTCACACCTGCACACAGGTTTAATTATGTGAGGCCCTGGACGTGTTAAGCAACCTTGTTGTGGTAACCATCTTGCAATCTATGCACGCGTCAGGTGATCTTGTTGTACACCTGAACCCTACATGGTGCTATATGTCAGTCTTCAGGAAGGTGGGAAAAGCCAAGGCCACCACGGCTGCCCCGTAGAGTACAGACTCTGGACTCTGGAGACGGTATAGCCTGGAGAAACCTAGTGACCGAGGAACCTAGCCTTCGGGACTATGATGGAGGACATGAGAAATGATCATGTTAAGGATGGATTTAGAAAGCAAATGGCTGTGTTCCTTCCCATCCAAGACTGTCCTGTCAGCTCTAAAATTCAGAGTTTCTACATTTTATTCCTAGGAGAGGTATTTTTCCTTTTTATAAGCTCATTTAAAATATGTCATTTATAATTAATGTCAAATTTTGAAATAACCTAAAAGAAAGTTGGTTTCTTTTAAGTATCTAATATTCGTATTGCTAAGAGAAGATAAATTTACTTTTTATCTGGAAATTAATGAAATCATCTGTCATTTCTGCATATGAAAGTTTTTAACTGGTCTCCCATAGCCCAGACAGTGAAGAAGGGAAACGTTTTTTTGTGTAGTATTTGTCTAGGTTCATGTGATAAAGAGACTTTCTCCTTAAAAATGCCGAGCCAAACATTTTTACCATATATGTATGCAAGAAAATGAAGCAAATTGAAGTCACAGAGTTTAGCAACTATAGATTAAAAATCTAAATAATTAACAATAGCTCAAAGGATACCCCCTAGAACCTTCCACCAATATTCGGCTTTATGTCTTTCCTGTTTTTCTTCTAACTTCCTTGGACACGGACTCCTCAAAGCCAGCTACGATGACCTGAAAGATCATCACACAACTTGTACTTAGAAACGCACTCTACTGGTCCTGGCTTTGCAAGAAGTTGGCCACGTGCTACAGAGCACGTCGTTTCTCTCTCTGAGAACTGGTTTTCTGATCATTAAAATGAAGAGACTGCACAAGATAATACCAAAATTCTTTCCAGTTCTAAGGTTTTAAGATTGTCCCTCTTCAGATTTTCACACGTAGTCAACATACTGCATCTCTAGGTTTTTGTGCTGGTGGCTCTCTGTGTCCCAAGTCCTCACATGGCCCACTCTCGTGTAGCAAACGGCCTCCTGGACACCTCTACCTGGATCGTGCATGGGCACCTCAAACACGCCGTGCCCAACGGGACTCTTAATTTTGCCCAGTAACAACTGTGTATACATTCCTCATGCTTGTCTACACAGCTGTCTGTCCCTGAGTCTAATGCCCCACCTTTCTGACAAGTGACCCTCCACTTCCTTACCTACTTACCTGAGTCCGTAAGACTCAGCTGAAGAGTCACCTTCTTGGGTCACATTTTTCCAAGCCCACTTCCTCTCAGGTAAATTTTCTACTCCCTTCTGTAGTATCCCGATTAAACTAAGATTACAGCACCCGCACGAGTGTATCACACATGTAATTTACTTACTCGTTTATGCGTTTACATTTTGAAATCCTCGTAGGAAGGTATCGTTTCCTAATTCTGTGATTCCACCCTCCACTTAGAGTGTATCACATGATTGGTGAGTAGCAAGTATTGAATGAATGAATGAGTGAGTGAAAATGAAAATTCCATGAAGTGAGGGTTGCTCGTGTCCGTATCCTGTCTGGTTTATGTCCACCCACCGATAGCCCCTTCAAGACGTGGAGAAGCCTCTGGTTCTCTTGCCCAATTTCGCCAGCTCACCTGCTCACCTGCTCAGAAGACTCCCATAAATACCAACCTTCACTCGTTTGCAAGCTTCCTTTTGCTGTGGGCATTCCATGTCCTTTTTATGAGAATCCTGTCTCGCAGAGTGCAGAGACCCAATTTTCTCTTTCTTTCTTATCTTTCCTGAAGTCAAGACCAAAATAATGATGTCTAGCCAGTTTTTAATAGCTGTTTGTTTCTTGAACCCCATATGTGATTTAGTTCTCACGTGGTAACAACTAAACTTTTTTAACGCAGGCATTTATATATAAACCAGTCTCATCATGAGCAATTAACAAATACACTTCTAGCTCTTCAAAATGTTAATGAAATTTAGACCTGACACTTAGCTCTCATGCAGTAAGTGTACTTGGGTAAATAAGCCGCCGGATTTGAGTATCAGAATTTTTCTCGGCCTCATCTTCACATACACCTTACTCCCTGGTCTGGCTGGAAGACATCAACTGACTTGATTTATTTTAGCAGGGTCAGGAAATCATCAGTGACATGTAAAAATGGTAGAATCAGCTTTTCTTCCCCTTCTGTTTTTTAAAGTTACTACTGCTAGAGTAATTAGCAAGACAGGCCCATACCAACTGGAGACACATTGCCTTTTAAGACAAGTTTCTTTCTCTGAGATCCATTGCTATCACAGATCCTTTAAGGTTTCTCTGAGACAGCTTTCTCAGGCCTGCCTTCTTTCCTCAGGTAAGTAGCACTTTGTCACTCTGTGGCCATTTTCTTCCCCTGCCTTTCTGCCTGACATTTCTTGATAGAGTCAGGAATGGCCCGTTGTTAGTTAATTTATCTTTGAAAAGATCACAGCTCCGTCGGCAGGATTGAACACGATGCAGAACCCAGTTCAAACCAAATAAACATCAATACCAATAATGACTATTATTACTCTTTATTAGACACCTTATTAAGTGAGAGTTATAATTACCTAATTAGTGTATGCAGCTCCGAAACCTACCCTGTAATGGAAGCGTCCTACACCGGCCTTTTACAGATGAGCAAGAGAAGGAACGGAGAGATTAAGTCGATTGCCTGAGGTCACACAGCCTGCAGGTGGCTGGATTAAAATCTGCACTCCTGTCTGCACATTTTCCATTTCACCAGCCCTTATAAGTGAGTGTGACTATATCCAGGATGTCCATAAACGTCCGGGGCCTTAATGAGCAGGGTTTCTGAGCAGAAGTGCCTAAGACAAATGGTGACCTGACCAGCGAGAGTGTGGCCTTTTCTCTGTTGTCACTTAGTTGGAAGGAGTCAGATGGCTGAGATACTGAAACTGTGCACGTAGTGAATTAAACAGAGGTTTGATAGACTCACACGGATATTTCTTGCCTTCTAGGAAGACTTCCAACCCGCAGCAGCCTCGGAGACCAACTGGGAGTCAGTCACTAGCTCTGTCTCAGTAAGTAATTTTGTTTTCTGTTGCCAGGAAAAAAACAAAACCCTGCAGGAGCGACTCAGGTCAAGCCCAGAGCGGCTCCAGCTGCTGAAGGACCCACGGCTCCCCGGAGGCCACACTGCAGTGTGGTGTCTTCTTCCATTTCATGTAGGTGCTAGCGGCCAGGGCCCCACACCGGGGGCCAGCGCCCGCTGTAGGAAGGGGGCGCGGACGGTGACCTCCGCACCCGCTGTAGGAACGGGGCATGGACGGTGACCTCAGTGTCTGTCCGTTTCAGAGCAGAACGTTCCAACGAGGGGAGCGCCCAGACTCGGCCGACACAGCACCCTGGCCCATGGCCCCAGCTCAAGTGGGGAATTTGGCAAGAGCGTTTTCAAATATTCCAGGAGAAGCTCTTACGCTTTGTGTTTCAAGGATCTTTTCAGATGTGAAAAATCCCAGTGTTTACAGCAAGATAACTTAAGTGCAAAGCAGGCATGTATCCTATTTGACTTGGAAATAAAACGTAACCCACCCTGAGACTGGAAGAGGTTCACGCCCCCATTTTCCCTCCAAATTGAGTCATTTCTCCAAAAGAACAGACCTTGTTTTCAGCAACCCCGTGAGTAGCACATAGGTAGCAATGAAATTCAAGATAATAAATGCAGGTGTTCACTAGCGGGTCAGAAGCATGGAGAAGCCCATGGCTCTGGGTCCGTGTGGCTGAGTCAGGGTTGGTCTTTTTTTTGCCAAGTGAGAGGCTCTCCTTTGCTCTCTGGGGGATTTTTTAGAAACTTAGCTCAGATGGCAGGGTTTCCTTAGCTATGGACTCGGGGGCTACATGATTCACCTGGTGTGTCCGCGGCACTAGAATAGCACAGCCCAGTCAAGAGGCCAGTGAGGCTTCTGATGGCGATATTAAGAGTGTTTTATTTGTTTCTGATAGTCCCGAATGCCCGCGCTGGACCTAGCTAAGTGCAGGCAGTCACTGTTGGGCAGGTGGGAAGGAAAACGAGGCAGGTGACGCCGGAGTCCTGAGAGCAGGCTGGGCACAAGGCTTGGCCTGGTGGCGGCCCGGAACCAGCAGTTCTGAGTGGATGCCAGCAGCCGCTGTAGCCGCTGGACCCCAGGGTGCTGTTCCATCAAGTCCTCTGGCTTCTCTGGCATCGTACGCAAGATGGCTCAGAGTGGTCTAGACATTCCTGCCCCAAGTGTGGAAGCTACATGCTTAATGGCTCCTTAGCGAATTCAGGATAATCCGGGTCCTCTTGAGAGCAGGACTGTGCCGTCCACTGGGAGTACCTCCAGAAGCTCACTGCCGGGTGCACATCCCCTGGTCACGTTTCTGGGCTCAGTTCCAAGGCCGGGTTCTGCTCAGTCCTCTGGAAACAGCAGGGACAGAGTCGTTTCCCTCAGCATTCTGGCTTCCAGGAACCTTCTGGAATAGGGGTAGGACCCTTGGACCTGCCATGAACTCTGTATAAACCAGATTTTGTTTTTGTCCAGTGGCTTAACGTTTTCAGAGCACTTTTTTTTATAAATTGTTACATCTTAAAGTTATTCGGTGTTAGTGAAATCAGATCTCCGGTGCTGTGGAGAGGGACATACCCAGTGAATTTTTGTTTATAAAAGTAATTTTTAAACGATTACCCCAGAAATTTAAAAAAAAAAAAACCCACCTCATTTCTTAACCATCGCCGGTGTTTCGGTCCATGCAGACGTTTGCACATTTTACCTGTGGTTTGTTTCCCCCTCCCCCACAGGGACTTAGAGCCCCGTCCTGCAGGGCTTTCTCCTGAAGCAATGTCTGGGGACATAGGCACAGTTAGGAGCACCCCAGGAACTGTTGGCCAGGAGCCCCCCAGAGCCACTGGAAGAGGGTTTCACGTGCATGAAAATGGCTTCACCCCTGTTCCTGCTTTGGTTTCAGAAAAGAGGGAAGCATTTTAATTTCAAATCTTCTTTATGCCGCCCTGCACCCGACTTGGCCAGCTCTTCTTGCATTTTTGGATTTTAGACCCACAGTATCATGATACGAGGCTAAATATGAGTCACCTGGTAAACATGAGCCAGGTAGACTGTAGATTATGCAGATAATACAGAGAGTTGGATGGGAATTTGAAATTTTGATATGGAAGCATAATATCCAACTCTAGCACCTCATGCCAGGAGGGATGGAAACCGGAATGACGTGGTGCAGTCGGAATCATCCAGACACTTGCACACACATGCACGTGTGCACACATGTACCCACACATACATGCACACATGCATGCATACGCATGCACACAGACACATGCACGCACATGTGTGCACACGTGCACCCATGGATACACATGCACACACACGCACACATGTACTCACACATACACACATGCATGCATATGCGTGCACACACAGACACATGCACAGAATGCACCCACGGATACACCAGATACATGTGCACACATGCATGCATATGCGTGCACATATATGTACTCACGTACACGCACACACCCTCGGATACACATGCACACGTGCATGCACACACCCATGGATACACAAGCACACATGCATGCATATGTATGCACACACATGCATGCACACACCCATGGATACACAAGCACACGTGCATGCATATGCATGCGCACACACGTGCATGCACACACCAATGGATACACAAGCACATGCATGCATATGCATGCACACACACATGCATGCACACACATACACGAATACACACACACGCACACACCTGGATTAGAGAGCTAGCCAGGTCCCTTCACCAGTGGAGCTCAGGTCTGGCTGCCTGTCCCCCACCCCCGCCACCCCCCACTCCTTTCCCCTATGGGACCTCTTTGAAAACCACTCCTAAACTGCACCTATGGTAGGTTCATGCCTTTACAAGACCCCTTAGTTTTGCTAAAGAGGGATGATTGGGAAGCAGGTGGTCATTCATCGTTGTTTACAGACCTTTGGACCTTGACTGGTTAAAAAGAGACCACGTTACCTGAAAGTGAGAATGTAAAATGTGCGCTCTGCTGTCTGAGTCCCTGTAGCAGGCTATTTCGTTTCAGGAGCGCAGGGTTTGCTAATTTCCCTTTTCCCTAAGTGATAGGAGGTGTTTGCCCTTGAAGGGTCTTATTTGTCTGGAAGTTTCTTTAAAGACATTTTGAAACCATTTGAGACTCTCTGCTCCCTATTTCCTTGTTAATGTGTCATGAATTTTTACCAAGATATTTGAATCATGGCTCATTTGCCTCTAGATTATACAAGGGTTAGTGAAGTAAGTGCTTGGAACTTCTATGGGGACATAGTCCATGGCAAAATGCATGAGTTCTTCCAGACTCTGTGTGATGTTGCATTCCCCGTTGAAAGAGTATTTCCGAGAATATTTTAATGACATCTAGGATTGCTCGCAAGCAACAGCAGTATAAAAATAAATATGTATGCTTCCTGAGAGAGTCTTCCAGTCTTGGTCAAGACTAATTATCCTTGTTGACAGTAAATAAACTGGTGAAAGTGCCACAGTTATCAAACTGTCTCCAGAGGAGATTCAAACCCTGCTCACACCACACCTGTAATGCCAGGTGACCTGTGCAGGGGACACAGGGACAGAGGAATGGGTTCTGCAAAAGGTGCCATGAAGGAGGTCAGGATTTAAATTCTAATCATTATTTGTTGATGCCGACATGGATGATGTTGACCTGGAACCAAGAAATGGGATGGTGTCATGTTGATACTGCCATTTAGTCAATACCTTCTTTAATGAGTCTGTTTCCGATGAGCTAGAAGTGTTATAATCTGCCTGGTTGTGATTGGCAGAAGTGTGAATGACTGTCACCTCCCCATCAATTGCTCTTATTTAAGAGTACGGCAAGACCGCGACAGAGGTCTTTTGCGTGATATTCACGCATATAATGTCTTAGGATCAGAAGTCTGTCGATGCCCCTTCCGTGTACTTGCTTGACTATTGTATTTCGTAGCCCTGGACTCTTCCTGAGTACACTGAGCTGTGTGTCACTCCTAGGGGGTCCCCTATCACTCTCCATCAGTAACGGACCCCACGCTCACGGCAGACGCTCTGGACAAAACAGTCTCAGAATTCGATACCGTGGAAGATCTGCTCAAGCACTTCAATCCAGAATCATGGCAAGAAGACCTCGAGAATCTATACCTGGACACCCCTCATCATCGAGGAAGGTCGTACCATGACAGGAAGTCCAAAGGTAAGAAACACAACCACGGAGGTTCTTCATAAGCCAATAGCAACATAGATAGTAACACTCAGTGAGGGCGAAAAAATGTCATCCATTTAATTCACTAAAATCAGAGGCTTACTGCCAGTCTCATCATATACCTTTTCCATAGCACCTTCAAATGAAGTCCTGAGTTTATGCCAAAGTACGTTGTTCGGATGGGATTAAGAAAGGTTTTGTTCAGTCAAAGACGTGTCACAGTTAGGAGCTGGGAAAAAAACTTGTAAAATCATCTGCACCAGGGGCGCCTGGGTGGCTTAGTCGGTTAAGTGTCCGACTTTCGCTTAGGTCATGATCTCGCGGTTCGTGGTTCGAGCCCCGCGTCGGGCTCTGTGCTGACTGCCAGCTCAGAGCCTGGAGCCTATTTCAGTCTGTGACTCCCTCTCTCTCTGACCCTCCCCTGCTCACACTGTCTCTCTCTCTCTCTCTCTCTCTCTCCTAGAAATAAATAAAAATATTTTTTAAAAAATCATCTGCACCAGCTTCTTGCTTCCTGGCAAGCAGGGTGTTACCAGCCTCACTGTCATGGGAGGCAAATAAGTTGGTGCAGGTTGTATGGCCGGCAGGCAGCAGGGAGGAAATGAGAGTTGTGGTTTCTGGCCTCCAGGGTGGTGCCTGTGTGACGGTCCCCTGAGCCTCTCTGATAGGCGTGTTGATTTTGCGCCAGACTCAGGACCAGCAGGCGAGGCTCCTGGTTAGTGGTCAGAACTCTCTAGGAGATTTCACCTCTCCCCATTCAGTGTCTATTCTGAAAGGGTTTCTCAGGAAGATCTACTGTGTGCTTGGTGCTCTGGACTCTTCATAGGATGTAAATGTCCCAAAGAAGAAACAGAAGCCCCGGGATAGTTGGAGGCATGTAGGCATTCACCTGGGGCTCCGGGAAAGGGCAGTTAGGTGAGGGGAGGAGAGAGGAACATTCACGAGAAAGCGTCGTGACTTAAAACAATAATACTGAAACTCAAAAAAATAATATCTTACTTGTACTTCTGAATGATGTGGTCTGAGAATGTTTCTTTGAATGCTTAACTCAAATTAATAGAGAACTATCTTGTGATTTCCTTTTCTTGAATAACACTATAATTTCTAGCCTATCACGTTCTTGCTCTATTTGCTAACATTTGTCATAAAACTGTTCTCTAAAAGTCTAGTAAGGCTCGTGTGCACAATAGATGCGAAGATATTCACCTAAAATAGGGCTTGTTTGCTGCATTTCACAGTGTCAGGTGACATCCTAGGAACCGTGAGCCTGGCCCGCTGGTGCAGGTCATGTTTGCATCAGTGAACACAGCCTCTCGGAACATTTGGGCCCGAATGACCAGTCCGTCAACTCCCCCCCGGGTCTGCTGCTTATGGCTCAGGTCTCACGTCCTGGATACCTGAAACGTAGAGCTCGAGGGCGGGCGGGAGAGTCGCTGGTGGCCCTGACGTTACAGAGATGTGCTGTGAGAGGCAGTCACTGGGCTCACACACAGAGTCTCCCCAGCGCTCAGGCTGGATTCAACCCAGAGGAGAAGTTGTGTTTCTGGAGTGTTGTCGTCTTTGAGTCTCCACTGCAGCCAGCTTGAAGGACAGTGGAAGATTCACAGTGCCGCGAAGCCCCCGAAAACGAGGAGACTTGCTATCAGACAAGGAAAGGATACCCCCGACTGGTCTTCAAGGATCTTAACCACCACAGCTATCTGAGGACCGGCTCTCCTTGGCACCTAGTGTTTGGATTTTTACAGTTTAAAAATCACCTAAATCCATTACTTTCTTTCCCTCCAAAAGTATGTTGCGTCGGAGGCAGAGCCTCTGAGTTCAGATCCTGACACTGCCACTCACAAGCTTTGTGTTTTCAGTGAGTTGCTGGTCTCCCTGTGCCTCAGTTTCCTCAATGGCCCCGTGAGTGTGCTCACACCAACCTCTGATGACTGTGAGTGGTGCCGCCGAGAACAGCCAGCACCAGGTGGTGGTTCAAGAAGTGCCGGCTCGCTCTGGCTCTTACAATCCTGAAGGATGTTCGTGTCGCGTCACTGGTGAAGGCTGCCTTGTCCCTCGTCTCCCCCACCCCATGGCGCCCACCACCCCAGCGTCTGGAGCACTGGGGACGCCACAGCATTTCTGCGTCCTGCTCCTGTTACTGTGGCTTGGGGTTCCCCGAGGGAATAGGAGCCCCTAGGGCCTCAGGGTCCCGTCTCCCCTTGGCTGCCGACGTCTGTCCCAGACACACTGACTCGTACCCCCCGGGGGGCGGAGGTATCGATGCTATTTTATGGCTTGTGGGAGATGGAGATCGATCCTGAGAGGCAGCTGAGGTTGCGAGCCACCGTTTAGGGACTGTTCGTCCTATACGTCGGGTACTTGGCTTAGCCTCTGACGTGTTTCAGGTGCTCAGTTAATGTTTGCGGAATGGAAGATACTAATAACCCAGCGTTAGTATATTTCCAGAGTTGACAGAAACCCACCCCATCGATGAGGAAGGCGGCCTTGTTCAGAACGCCTTTGGTTACTGATAGAACCTTGCAAGAGCATTCTAGGTGACCTTCTGCTTATTTCTGGCAGAGTCCACATTTCTTTCCATTGCTGGCTCCGGTCTCACTTCTTAATCTCTTGTTTAAAATGGCTTGAAGGCAGATCTGTACTGTTTTGTTTGACACTGGCAACTCACCACGGTCCGCGCCCTTTTGTAGCTGTGCTGATTTAACTGTTTATCGTTCCGCTGACGCTGACCCACCTGCGTGGATCTCACACACACAGGGCATGTCCCGTGTAGTGTTCCAAATGTCACTGTCAGCTTTTAGGACTTAAAAATACAGATTCCAAGTTTATGTCCTGTGTAGAAGGAAGGGCGCGGGGAAAGATCAGTAGAAACAGAAACAGAAAAAGGGTTTTACAGACGAAGAAGGTCCAGTGGATGTCAAGTAAAGAGCGCATTTCCTAGGATTGCCAAAAATGTTTCCTCTCATGGGTGTGAGCATTTTTTAATGACGCTGTGCACAGACAAGCGTCAGTTCTGGGTAGCCATTGAATCTCCATTCTTCTGATTTGCTTAGACTCATCAAAGAGGCATTTTTCTTGATATCCAAGACAGGTATTAATGATGAGCCTTAAGTGTGAATCTACAAAACACATAGTTTTATAAATTCTAAAATGAAGCGTGCATACACTGGGTGGAGAGCTTTTATCATGAAGTAGAAATAGCTAATATTGAAAAGGAAACTGTATGCTTTGCTTCTGCAGTTTATTGGAAGGCAGATTTGGTGGCATCACTGTCTACATTTTTAAAACTCACTAGTGATCGGTAAGCTCACACCTGCCTGTAAAAGCTTCGGGACTAAAGAAAATAAAACAAGTTAATATATCTAATGTTCAGTTTCTTAGAACGTACAGAGAAAACGGTAGCACAGATAATCGAAATCTGTACATAACTACAGGTCCCAAACCCAATTTTACCAATAATTTCAACCTCATACTTTCACCACCTCAAAGTTGCCTTCAAGTTAACCAAAAAAAAGTGTTTCAAGTTCAAGGTTCATTTCCTCTTTTGATGAACATGCTATAATAGTATGGCAAACTTGTACATAATTAGATAAAAAGTTATATAGATCTTCTACAAACTACATAATCATTTCATAACTCTTGTAGCCTAACTGAAAACTCACTGTGATTTCTTTAAAACACAGTCCTTTGGGGGGCACCTGGCTGCCTCAGTTGGTAGAGCAGGCAGCTCTTAATCTCAGGGTTGTGAGTTCAAGTCCTGCCTTGGACGTGGAGCCTGCTTAAAGACAAAAACAGAAACACAATCCTTTGCATTTAGGGGCGGTATCTCTTTATCCAAGTTCATAGCATGAAATTGAACGTCTTTAAATTAAGATATTTTAGGGGCGTCTGGGTGGCTTAGTGGGTTAAGTGTCCAACTTCAGCTCAAGTCACAATCTCACAGTTCGTGAGTTTGAGCGCCACGTCGGGCTCTGTGTTGACAGCCTGCTTTGAATTCTGCGTCTCCCTCTCTCTCTGCCCCACCTCTGCTCACACTCTATCTCTGTCTCTCTCAAAAATAAATAAACATTTCCAAAACTTATTTAAAAATTAAATAAATAAATTAAGAAATGACCAGTCTCAAACTCTACTCGAGTGGGCATTAATTGAGAGGCCATTAATGGAGATTCACAATGTAATGAGTTGGTTTTTTTTTTTTTTACTCATTCCAGGAGAACTTGACTTCCTAAATGATAGTGTGTTTATCATGGGAAAAAATCTAACACATCATAGCAGGGGGAAGAGCCTGTTTTCACAGCATTAAGGGTTGTCACTAAAATGTGGATCTAATTGTTCAGGCATTCCAACTTTATAGTTTTGAACTACGGTTTAACTTACCAGAAGTAAATTCTTACCCAAAGAGTTGCCATTTTTTAACACATGTACCAAGGTTGACATGCCCTCCTCTTAAAAACAAAACAAAACAGCATTTCCACATTGAGTGTAGCAAATATATTGATACTAAACTGATTCAAAGTGACAGGGTTTGAAATATGTGATTTTTGCAGACTCTAAATGCTTAGATGTTATAACTCTGGGACAGTCATCAACCCATTTCATAGACTCCAGTACCACTTCTCTGATTTCTTACATGACATTATTTTGCTCTAAGATCTAAAACACTTGCCTTTTTTACTTGAAAATTATTTAGAGGTAAATGGCTGGCATAGTAGTTGAAGACTAAACGAAAATTGTTTACTGTCAAACTGTTTGAATTGGTTCTGAATTCTCCTAGCTCAAAATACTTTTTACTTTTAAATTAGTCATTTATCTGTTTCTTTGTCATGCTCTTGTGTACTGACCAGGAAAATACAGGTTTTGCTCTTTCAAAAACGACTTGGGGTGAGGGAAATAATTCCGTAATATATAAGACATGAACATAGCCTAGAACGAGCTGGAGTCATCACACGTTGAATGCTTGCAGATTTCTGTCTGCCTATTTGATACCTGGATAGGAACTTGCAAAAGGCTGACATTGGCGATGAATCAGATAAATTGGTCTTGAGATAGCATCTACGGTAAGTACCTCTCTGTAAATTAAACAGATACTGGGAACATTAAATCAAAATGGATTTATTTTTCTAATTTCTAACGTGAGAAGAGGGATGGCTTCATTAAGCTTCCTGAGCCATGTAGTATGCACCACGTAAGAGCTGTCTTCATCAGTGTTAAAATCGCCTGCCACAAATCTGATAAAAACAGAGCAAAGGAAAGGATGCCTTAGTGGAAAGGGGGAGGGCTTTGGCGTCAGGTAAATTTTATCTTGCGATAAAATTCTCCCTCATGTCCAAGAACAGTGGCCTCGGGGAAGTCACATGTAGACCCCTGAGCCTCTATGTTCTACGCTTCGCAGAAAAGGCTCTGATTATAACCACCTTGCAGAGTTGCGTTAGGATTAGTAAGAGCAGACTGTCTAGACTGAGAGACCCTCGCCCTTTGGTGTAAAAATACCATAGCTGTTCACAGACACCGCCCCCCCCTTACATCTCACCCTCATGCAGAGCATCGTGCGCATAGTGTTGTGAAATCAAAGTCTCATTTTTAGTGTTTTGCATAACCGATCGTGGCGGTTTTCCCCATTGGGCAGAGGACCCACTTGGGAGCACCCTGAGGTACCGATCAGAGGGCGAGCCTTCCTGCAGCACTCTCCTTGCCTTCTTCCAGATGCTGTGGGCTTCGGCCATCCTCATGCATCGTAGCTCATCCTTGATAGAGCCGCATCTAGAAGGCCAGGTTCTCAGTCCTACCTATACCGTCAGCAGCTTGGTCCCTTCAGGTAGTGGTCATTGGACACTGTTCCTTGCAAAGGAAATCTGGATTGATGACTAGGGCTGTTAAGTGTCCTAAACTCCTTCTGATCTGGGCTTTTAGCTTATGGGTATCCATTCAGAGTCCCAGAAGGTAGGTATTTAAAGACAATCAGAAACCCCTGTCTGGGGGGTGCCATGGGGACGTCAGTTGTTTTTACTTGACTTAGTTCTTTCCAACATCCTGAAACAGCGCATGTGCCTGGACTGCACAGATGCCGAGGTTTCTTTTAGCGCTGCCCTGCTTCTGTGCATCGAACCAAATGGTTTCAGAACGGGACTCAAATGGCCTCCACCGGTCTCTCCGCTACGGGCAGAGTGCTGGGAGGAGGGACAAAGAGATGAGTCACTCTCTGCTTCCGAGAACCTTCTCTTTTCGCAGAAGAGAAACATGCAAATACAGAAAATGATGGAACACAGTCTGTGAAGTAAGCACTGTGGTAGAAGGCAGAGAACGCGTGTGAGTCTGTAGCACAGGGCTCGGAAGAGATACGGGCTGACTCTGCCTTCTGACTTGAGCCCTGGAAATCTGACACGACAGGGCTGACTGAGATGCTGGAGAAGGTCAAACCGCAGGACAAAAGCGTGGAATTAGACGTACACATGTAGATGTGGCTCCACTTCCATCTCACGCGTGCCCCAGGCTGTCACCACACACCACTCACAGTCTAACGTGTATATTGCTGGTGTGTGCCTGCTGAGGGTTTATGAAGATGAAGATTGTGAGCACTGTAAAGACTTGGTCTGGCTGGTACAAAATGATTCCTGGCTCTCTGAGAACACGTGGATGTTTTTGTTGGAGACACAGGCAGACCCCGGAAAATCGGGATAAGGCCAGAGACGCACAAAGAAGAATCCAGATTGGTGAAAGACCAGCACAGCAAATGCCAGCCGATAAACTTGACGCCCAGAGACTGACCCACGAGAATCATCCTCCTGTTGAGCCAAATAAAGCAACGAAGTAAACACACATGGGCAAGAAAAAAAGTGCATCCCTGCATTCAAAGTGAGGACGTTCTTTTGTTTCATGATGAATGTTTGTATGCACGAAAAACTTGAAATGGTCAACTTATAAAAGGCTTTAAAATTTTATCATAAGCTGATCCCCACAGATGCAAGCCTGCGAGGTACACTTCAGGCCTACCGCAGAGCAGACACCACAAGCGAGCAAGTCCCGTGAATGTCTGGGGCCCCAGTGCAGGTAAGAGCTCTGCGTATGTGCAGTGCTGCAGTCCGTCAGGTGCGCTACAGTATCGTCTACAAGCAGTGTTCATCGCTCAGTTAAAACCTGCTTCATTACTGGAAAATACTAACCATCATCTGCGCTTTCGGCGGGTCATAATTACTTAGGACAGTTCACCAAAACAAATAGAATAATAATGAAAAACGTTTGATATATTGTTAAAAATTATCAAAATGTGACATAGAGACATAAAGTGAGCAGCTGCTGCTGGAAACACGGGGCCAATGAGGGGCGCCTGAGGGGCTCAGTCGGTTAAGTGTGTGGCTCTTGACTTTGGCTCAGGTCATGATCTCACGGTTCGTGGGCTCGAGCCCCGCGTTGGGCTTTATTCCGACAGCGCGGAGCCTGCTTGGGATTCTCTCTCCATCTCTCTCTTCCCCTACTATCCCTCTCTCTCTCAAAAACAAACAAATAAATGTTGAAAATGGCACCAGTAGACTTGCCCAGTTGCCACAAACCTGCAGTTTCTGGGGAGACACAGTACCTGCAAAGCATAACGAAGCGACACAGCAAACGAGGCACGCCCGTACCGGCTTTATGTGTCCTGCGGAGAGAATCGTCACTCTCCTAGCACCAGTTCCCTCTGAAGGCAAATTGTTACCGACCCATTCAGCTCTTTGCACGGCTTCGACTGGTTTTCATGACTAAGATACTCGTAGGTGGGGCAGGAAGTTGTTCAAGAAGGAAAGGGGCAAAACGGAGAGGGGGAGCAGACGCACTTTCCTTCGGTTCAGGGGAAAGAGATGAAGCTCACCGTGCGGTTCAGGACCGGAGAAGAGACGCTCTCTGCCGGTAGCTAAGCGCGGTGTGCTCTTCCAGCAGAGTCTGATCAGTGGGTGCACGGAGCACGTGCCTGTGCGCGTGCCACTGGCAGCATGTTGAAATGACAGGGCAGGGTCGGCCACACGCGTGGAAGCCTGGTCACTGGGTCAGCGAGCGGTCCCCCAGCGGGAGGGGCTCTGCATCCCCCTTCAGATCTTCAGGCCGGGCCTGGACGTCAGGCCCGCGGTGCTCGTCACAGCTCGTAGGTGCGGCAGCAGCGGCTGGAGCGCGAGGCTAACTTCGCAGCTGCCGTCTCGGGTCCCGTGCGAGGTACACATCGGGGGACAAAATGCCATCGTCCTTGACGTTTTCGTGGTCTTGGACTTAAAATGAAGCTGAAACCTTTTCTTTCGTTACATTGGCTTGTGAGATCTCATTACCAGCTAAACACGCTGGGGGGGGGGCGGTCGTCCGAATGCCTCTCTGGTGTAATTCAAGTCACATTTAAGCCATGGTTTCCTCGGAATCAGCACGCGATTTGTTTTGTTGGTTTTTAACAAAAAGGTGGTTATTTTAAATGGCTCAACATTTCATTTTCTTTCCTCAGAATTCTTTTTACATTAAAAAAAGATGCAAAGAAGCGGCGCCTGGGCGGCTCAGTAAGTTAAGCGTCCGACTTCGGCTCAGGTCGTGATCTCACAGTCTGTGGGTTCAAGCCCAGCGTCCGGCTCTGTGCTGACAGCTCAGAGCCTGGAGCCCGCTTCCACTTCTGTGTCTCCCTCTCTCTCTGCCCCTCCCCTGCTCATGCTCTGTCTCTCTGTCTCTCTCTCTAAAAAGAAACAAACATTAGAAAAATATTTAAAGATGCAGGGAAATTTGAATCAAGATGAAGACTCAGCCAAAGTTTGCAGAATTTTTTTGGTTTTTTGTTTGTTGCCGTTATTTTATTTATTGTTATCATTAATATTGTGGGCAGATATAATCAAAAGAGGGTTAGATCCCCTCCCCCTTCAGTGTTGGGCTGATAACTAAGATCCAAGGACAGATTTGCTCCCTGGAGTGAGGCTGTCCTCGCAGAACCTTCCGGCACCTGCCGAGTGTGTTTGCTGAGGGCTCTCTGCCAGCTCACGCGGCGTGTGTTTCTTACAGTTGACCTGGACAGGCTCAACGACGACGTCAAGCGCTACAGCTGCACCCCCAGGAACTACTCCGTCAACCTGCGAGAGGAGCTGAAGGTGACCAACGTGGTTTTCTTCCCCCGCTGCCTCCTCGTGCAGCGCTGTGGCGGCAACTGTGGCTGCGGGTCTGCCAGCTGGAAGTCCTGCTCGTGCAGCTCAGGGAAAACCGTGAAGAAGTATCACGAGGTGAGTCGCGCCAGCGCTCTCGGCTGCAGTCCTGCGACACAGACACACATAGGCTCCTTCCAGCTGCAGACGTGACGTCGTCTCCAGGGTGCCGGGTGACCGGGCTGCTGCATACAGTAGTTCAGGTTGCTCACTGCACAAGGGCACCCAGCTGCAAGGATGACTGGGAGCTGAAATGATACGTGTGCTAACCTTGCGACGCCACATGCCCTGGGGAGGGGCTGAGTCATTCCTGGAGGAGGGAGTCTTCTCCCCAGTCATATAGCCACCTGCGGGGTGGCAGCAGCCTTGGTAGATTATACCGTCACGTGTGTGATGCCGTGAGGCAGAGCCTTGCGGGCATCCTCATACTGATGTGATGGTGTTCCTCAAGGCCGTAACTGCAAAATCCGGGCTGCGTTCAGAAAACTGTAAGGGCCAGACTTGAGGTTAATCAGGTCATTAAAAAATTAAGCGGAGGGGCACCTGGGCAGCTCAGTCAGTTAAGTGTCTGACTCTTGATTTCAGATCAGGCCACAATCCCACAGTTTGTGAGATGGAGCCACACATTGGGCTCTCTGCTGACAGCGACAGCGTGGAGCCCACTTGGGATTCTCTCTACCTCTCTCTCTCTCTCTCTCTCTCTCTCTCTCTCTCTCTCTCTCTCTCTCTGACTCCCCCGACTCTCTCGCTCTCAAAATAAATAAACTTTAAAAGATTAAGCAGAGGGGCGCCTGGGTGGTTCAGTCGCTAAGTGTCTGACTTCGGCTCAGGTCATGATCTCACTGCTCATGGGTTTGAGCCCCGTGTCAGGCTCTGTGCTGACAGCTCAGAGCCTGAAGCCTGTTTCAGATTCTGTGTCTCCCTCTCTCTCTGTCCCTCCCCTGCTCATGCTGTCTCTCTCTCTCAGAAATAAATAAAACATTAAAAAAAATTTTTTTAATTAAGCAGAGTGAAGATGGCAAAATGTAAGTTGACAGAAAATACATATAGTTAGAAACTTTTTAATTCTCTAAACATGGTAATATTTTTCTTTTAAAAATACCAGTTTTTCCTAAATACTGCTGGGTGTGCCCCGGGGAGTCAGCTCTGAAAGGAGGCAAAAATAGACAACAGCAAACATGAAGACAAATGAAGAGCAGCCCTTTAAGGAAAGCAGAGTCTGGTTTCCAGAGACTCTATTCTTGTCACTCCGAACACTGTGCCTTTTCCTTCTAAACGTTCGGCTCGTGGCTGAGCGTCAGAGGAAGGGCAGATCTGAGGGGAGTCCGAGCCCCCGGCTTCAGCAGCACCCCCGTTTCTTCCCAAGCATGGGCGCCTCACACAGTTTTCACATATGGGGAACGGGACGAAGATGTTCTATCAGATAACCGCGGACAGGGTGGTTCGTGATGCGCGGGGAGTGCGCTTTTAAGGTGGCACATGTCACACACAAGTCTGTTTAAGGACAGAAACAATGAAGCAGACGTTATTATTAGAAATCATTGTTTGAGTCTCCGCCCGAACAAAGGACTAGAGAGTGCTCCCTAAATAAAACCAGCTTTGTAAAGCCGTTTCTTCATCCTGAAAACAAAACAATAATAGCAAGTTTCAGGAGGCAGCTGCTGAGCTGAGTGAGAACGGCTGCGTCATAACTGGAATTTTCACTTTGGGAAGCGCAGGAAGTCAAATGTCACAGTGGCCATGCTTACCTTAGGAGCGGAAACACATTCTTTGAGATCTACTTAGAGCTTATTTTCTTAGGCATAAGAATTTCTTACTCCACCCTGCCATTTTCAAGGGGGAAAATGTTCTCATATCTCGAGAATGCTGTCGTCTGTGCTCATTGTGTTCTATTTTCGTCTGACCTAATGAACTCCAGATTGGACAGTGTTTTTTTGCATTTAAGAGCCTGAATTTTGTAATGTTTAGTCATATTCTGAGGACCAATCCAGAATGCAATAATCAGAATAGAGTTAAAATAATCTAGCAGGTGACAAGGTCTCTACCCAGACATCGTGACACGACAGAAGTTTCGAGTGCAGGCCTTTGGTCTATGTGTAGAGTGCTTTCCTTTCCTCTGGACTCTGCTCAGATAGAAGTTACAGCTTCATGGTTTAGATGGTTTATTGCGGGAATGGCCGAGCTAGACATACGCACCGCCGCCCAGGCTCCTCACCTCCCAGACACTTCCCACTAGAGAACTGCGAAGGGCCTTCTCTTTCCTTCTTGTCTCCATACACGTTATCTTCACAATTAACATCTAGAAAGGGAAACCCTTCATCTCTGCTCATCACCTGAGCGGGTCTAAGATGTCAGCTAAGTCTTTCGGAAACTGCTCATGGAAGCATCTCTTTGAAACGTTGTAGGCTGGTACTTTTACACCCAGGAGTCTGCGGAGCTCTAGACAGAGTTTCTCTGCCCGGCGTCAAACAAAGGGACCGAACAGCATTGGTCACTCTCTGTTGCTGCAAACCCAGAACACACATGCCTGGCGCATTGCCCCCGGACTCCCAAACACCCTTAAATGTGTCCCGCTGAATACTCCGTGGGCTGCCCCGTGGAAGGGAGGAGACCGGGGAGTGGGGGGGGAGGCAGGGGGGGAGGGGGTTGCTTGAGCCGGGCTCATTAGGGAAAAACCTCTCTTATTTGTTCAATTCTGTGACTGTGCTCTTACCCCAGAGAAATGAGAAGCCAGCGTCACTAGCTTCTGGTTGAAACTGATGAGATGTGAAATGAGTTTCTGTGCGGCACGAGCCCCCTTACGGGGTAGCTGGGACCCATCACGGAAGCAGGCCTGTGTGACTTTGCACAAATATTTCAGCACTCGGCATTTAGGGAATAAAATGTGAAAAATTATGAAGCCCCTAATGAAGCTTATATAATTGTTCTTTCTGTTGGTCACACTGTTTCTCCTGAGCACTTTTCTCTGTGCAATTGCAGTGTTTCCTTCTTTATGACTTTCTGTTCTCAAAAGTACTTGTAAGTCTCCTGTGAAGGTATTTTTCCTTTTTGCTAATAGTAGGTCCCTTATGCCTCTTGGAATGTATAGGATACAAAAGAGACTTTGGGTGGTGATTTTTTTCAAAAGGGAAGGTTCCAGAAAACATAGTGTGTAGACAGTCAGATGATGTTGTTTGAATTTTCATCTGCCTTGATAATGCACATGAGGGATAGATCTTCCCTAGAAATACAGCAACCTTTTTAAAAAATTTTTAAATGTTTTATTTATTTTTAAGAGAGAAAGACAGAGCACGAGCAGGGGAGGGGCAGAGAGAGAGGGAGACACAGAATCTAAAACAGGCTCCAGGCTCTGAGCTGTCAGCACAGAGGCGGACACAGGGCTCAAACCCACAGACTGAGATCATGACCTGAGCCGAAGTCTGACACTCAACTGACTGAGCCCTCCGGGCACTCTCAGCAACCTTTTAAATTAGATGATGGTTTTCACCCTCTGGTCCCCTGAATGTGTCCATTCCGGCAACAGCTGAAATCTCTCGGAGGGGCGGAGAGCAAGCGAAGTTCGTTTCCCCCATCCCTCCTCTCACGATTTTGTCACCGTGCCACTAGAGCCCCCTGTAGACCTGGTGGAATTTCCTGCCGGGATGGAAATGCTCCCTGTGTGTGCCCTGCAGGGTGGGAGTCCCTGGCAGCATGCGGTTATGGGGCGCTTTATGTGTATACAACACAAATGGGGGACTGGACTTATAATTGTATTTTACCTAATTAAATGTACACAGCCCCACACAGCCAGTGGCCGCCGCACTGAGGAGCCTGGCCTAGATCATTCTCTGTTTCTGGCACACTCGTTCCTGACTCTGCACAAACAAAATGGGGGAAAAAAGACTTTAGAGGATTACTTTTATTTCACTGTAAAATTTTATATTAAAAATTGCTTCCTGTAACAGGAAGTTTAAGAGTTAGAAAACGTAAGCAGGTATTCATATATGAACAAAAAATTAATTAGAAGTTTTAAAAGGTTGAGCCCCAGACTCGGGAGAAAAGAATAGCACTTTGAGTTTTAACATGTTGGAAGCGCCTGCCATAGAAACAGATTTGGCTAAAAGTGCAAGCTGAGATCCAGGAGACAGAAAAAACCCTGGATTCCAAAGACTTTCTCGTCTGTGGCAAAAGCGGTGAGATTTGGGGTCATGATGACGACCAGCCGTGACAGAAGTCAGGAAGAGTTGTCTTCCGTTTCTGGAGGTCGCATTTCGGGAGCTGGTACGCTGTGCCTGCGCCTCCCTGCCGCTCGCAGGCCGCCCTGGAGTTTTCTAGAAGAGCCAGGCCCGTGCACCAAACCCCTGCCCGAGCGGGAGGGAGACGTCGCCTCTGGTTTTAGCTTCCAGAGCCGACACTCCAGGCCCCGCGGGGCCTCCGGTTTCCTCCCCTCGTCCCCAGGGGCGCCTGCAGCGCCCTGGTCTCCATTAGCCGCTGCGCCGTCTTCCGGCCGGAGCCCTGCCCCCCGGGAAGCACGTGGGGACCCTACGCGCACGGGCGGTGGGCCGGGTCTACGCGGGAGGATTGGAGGTACGGTCAGCAGCCGCCCCCCGGCAGGGAGGTCCGCACACGCCTCTGGCGCCGCGCCTCACGCGGGGGACGCAGGGCGGCACCTGGAGGCCGCGGGGGGGACGCGGGGCGGCACCTGGAGGCCGCCGGGCAGGCAGGGGACACGCGGGGGACGCGGGGCGGCACCTGGAGGCCGCGGGGGGGACGCGGGGCGGCACCTGGAGGCAGCGGGGCACGCGGGGGAGGGGCGGGGCGGCCTGCGTGCGTGCGACCCCGCGACCCCTCACTGTCCCAGCGAATGCCGTCCGCGCCGAGCGTCAGGAAACATGCACCTTCCTGCCCTTCTAGGTTTCGCTTCGGGCCCGGCCTTGGTGCCCCGGGGCGTCCTGCCCTTCGGGGCGACCAGACCCGTTTGCGACGCGACCCTCCGTGCGGACTCCCTGCTCGGAAGCGGGGTGCCCGCCGAGGGCCCCGCCGTGTCCTCTGCGGCGCGTGGGCTGAGCCCCCCGCCCTCCGTCCCGCCGGGGCCGCCGCGGGCATTGAGTTAGGCCTGGCGCACCCGCAGGGGCCCGGAGCGCCCGGGAAGCTCGGCGTCTGCAGGTGGCAAGGCCGCGTGTCCGTGTTCGGGGGGGCGCCGCGGACCTGATTTGCCCGGGGCACCCTGCTCACTCTTTGTCACACCGTCTGTCTTGCCCAGGACTGTCTGAGTCGTGGTACCAGCCCCCACCTCGGTGCCCTGCTCCTGCTGGGGTGCCCGCAGCAGTAACCCCCGTCGAAAATACCATGCTGTCCCTTCTCCAAATATTTTCACTTCTAATCACTTAGGTTTCAGAAAAATTGACTTCCAGCCCTTAAAAATCTTAACTGCACATCTTTCATGAAAAAGCATGGAAAAAGTCAAAATGGAAACAAAAGTATGAAGCTCTTTATTTTTAGGCAAGAAACTGTTTCAGGGCCATAACCACCTTTTTTTTTTTTTTTTTTTATCTTCCCAGTAAAGAAAGACCCAACTCAGCAGATAGCTTTTCTGCCCAGGATTGTTTTATTGTGTAACGGCTTCCCAGCAACGATTCCCTCAGTGGTTTATTGGCTACGAGGCGAGTAACTGGAGTTAAATATCTTTTGTGACACAGTAATTGGCAGACGGGGCATCTCTGACTTTGTGCACTTTGGTGCACACAGGGAAGCGCCGTGTGCGGGGCCATCAGCGCGTGGCCTCCGGTGGCCGCAGTTGATACGGTGGCTCCTTCCCTTCAGAAGTGACCACGTGGCCCCGAGCAGCCCGTCTGCCTTCCCAGACAGAGGCGTTTCGTGTCCCTGCCCGCGTCCCGAGGTCGCTCAGGCCTGCCTCGCCTTCCCCCGCTGACACGGTGCACCTGCACCCAACACCGCACCGGTCGGAGGCTGTGAACCTCAGTGCTGCGACGAGCCAGCCACACGCCAGCCTCCCTGTGCTCAGACACGGCTTTTCCTGGTTTGCCGGGAAAGGCGGCCGCCAGTGCATTTTTCTCATCTTGTCAGCGAAGCACGCAGAGGCTGTGCCCGTGCTGCGTAATATGAAACCCGGGGAACGTCCCGGAACAGTCCAGAGAGCAGGTGGGACATGCGTGTGGGCTCTGCCGCCAGCCCAGGGCACGCGCTGCTCTTTGCCGTCAAAGAGGACGTGGGGCGACCGAGCGCTGCGCTTCCAGGTGCGGCCAGAGCGGCCCAACCAGACAGTATTCATCACACGCCTTCGTCTTAGAAGTCCCTCCCCTCCCCGCACGCCGGGGACCTGCTGTCCGCCGTCTCGGGCCTAGTGACTGATTCACAGTGGAGACAGCCCGCTGGGCTCCAACCCCTGACTCCACGGCTCTCCGGCCAAACACGGCTTTCTTACCTGCCGTGGGCCGGGCTGCTGAAGGTCCAGACGGGCACTGCATTCTTCAAGCACTGTCTTTCATTTTCCGTGCCCCCCAGCGGGGGAGAAGGCCAAGGTCGTCGTGACTCTGCTCTTAGTAATTTCAATCTTCCTGCAAAATTGTGGAAGGATTAAAGGTGGTCCAAAGCGGGGGCCACGTTGTAGGGTTTGTTGTTGTTGTTGTTTTTGGGGGGGTGGCCTCTGCTTTATATCTGGCTTGTTTGTGCCTGTGTTTGTTGGAGGTGGGGGCGGGGAGATGCAGGGAGGACGCAGAGAGGAGACATCAGGCAGACCCCCCCCAGTGCCAGCACCCACCCGGCTGCGTGTCTTCAGCAGCCGCTGTGAGCCCAGTGCTCTGCTGAGCCACGCAAACAGCAGTCCCATTTCACAGGCGAGGGTGTGAGCGGGCCCACGTGGGGTCAAGTTCTGTCATTGGCTCTAACTCTGGGCGAGCACCTTCATCTCTCTGTTTCCTCGTGGATGAAAGCATAGAAAAGCACCGAATAGGGTTGCAGTGAAATGCAAAGAATTTATTATTTGCAAAGTCACTTGCAACAGTGTGTGGCATCTAGAAAATACTCAGTAATGTCAGTAATACTTGGTGCTTCCCTGTTCTCGAAGTGCTTATAATCCAGCTAGTAGAGAGAAAGCATAATAAATTGAGGGAAATTGTGTGGTCCTTGCTGTAAGGGTCCTAGAATTGCAGGAGGAACGGGAGCCATATGCTTAGCTGTCGGGATTGCCACTTGGACTAGCTTTGCCGACAGCAAACTCTTCTGAGTGTTTCTGCCTTGGGGACGAACCCTCCTGAGGGGTCCCCTGCACGTGGGGTTCTGTGTTCCCACAGTCCAGGCTCTGCAGCTTGGTTGAACACAGAGCCAAGGAAGGCATTCACTCTCGTCCTCGCTGGAGCCCCCGTGGGCAGCAGGGCTGGATAGGGGCCCAGTGCTGAGCACCCTGGACCCACGCTTCCTAGTCGATGGTTTAGGCTTATGACTCGAAGCAGGTGACCTGTGAAGACTTCTGGGAGAGAATCCACAGTCAAGAAGGGACGCCGTGACCAGTGGCGAAACACTGAGGCAGGATCTGCCACATCGGCCTTCGCCTAGGATGGCACTAAGCCGGGCGAACAGACCGGGTGCCCAGCCGGGGCACACGTGCAGCCCACCCCTTGGAGACAGAGAAGGACGTCACCGGCACATTGAAGACGCGGTGGCCCCAGGCGGGGACCCTGGAAGACAGAGCCCTGTCCTTGGACGTGGGTCTGAGTGCCCAGAAGACCCTGGGCGAGGCGCACGGCCTCCTGGAGAGTCGTAGGCCTCCAGCGCGGGGGCAGGTGCGACGAGGTTTGTCTGAGGGCGAAAGACTCGGTGTGTCTGTGCAACTCCTGTGAAAACTGCAAGTGCAACATAATTGCATGGTGGTGCCTGCTGGACTTTAGAGTCTGGAGGAAGATAGCAGAAGTCGGAGGTAACCGCTCACAGGAACCGTAGAGCGTAACCAGAGAAGCGGTTAAACTGGCCGGGTCATGTGCGTGAAAGCCAAGTGTGGATTTCCCAAGCGATTCCCCGCGGTGACGGACGCTTGCCTCCGTGAAGGCCGCCGCAGGGGACAGGACCGCTGCTTTTTAAACTTAGCGGAAGTTCTGTTTCAGCTTTGTGAGTATCCGTTCAGACTCCAGTTCGCACAGAGTGTAATACCAGTTTTAGGCGCGCAGTACAGTGATTGCACACTTCCCTGCATCACGCGGTGTTCACCTGGGCAGGCGCGTCCTTCCCCTCCCCCCGCCCGCTCTCCTCCCCTCTCCTGACCTCCCGTGTGGTCTTTGTAGTTAAGAGTCTGTTCTTGGTTCCTCTCTCTTTTTCCCCCTTTGCTCATTTGTTTTGTTTCTTAAATTCCCCACGAGTGAAATCGTATGGTATTTGTCTTTCTCTGAGTCACTTGCTTCAGTTAGCATAATATTCTCTAGCTCCGTCCATGTTGTTATAATCAACTTAACCAATTTAAAAACTTAAGGAGGGGCGCCTGGGTGGCTCAGTCGGTTAAGCATCCGGCTTCGGCTCAGGTCATGATCTCACAGTTCGTGGGTTCAAGCCCCGCGTTGGGCTCTGTGCTGACAGCTCAGAGCCTGGAGCCTGTTTCAGATTCTGTGCCTCCCTCTCTCTCTGACCCTCCCCTACTTGCTCTCTCTCTCTCTCTCTCTCTCTCTTTCTCAGAAATAAATAAAAACATTGAAAAAATTTTTAATAAAAATAAATAAAAACTTAAGGATATACTTTAGAAAGAAATGCTGTACTGATATGCAGATATTAATGTAGAAAGAATTCAGTGGAGCCTGATCTGTTTTGAATGGTAAAAGGCATTATGTATGAACAGATATGTAAGAACATACACATATTTTCACTTAATTATGGCCACTAATCACCTTCCTCAGGGCAGAACATTTTACATCCACCAAAGTTTTTGCCGCAGCAGCGTATTCTGTTTATGACTTTATTCACTGCTCTGGCCACAGAAGTAACAAATGCTCAGTGTCGGATGTATCTGTAACATGTGCTTTGCTCAGAGGGGTACTAATGACAGTATTTGGAGCAGCGCTTGGCCCAAATCAGCCCTCAGAAAGCTGCCAGTAGCCACCTCCCTGTCAGGACGCCCGAGCCGCTCAGGGTCCTGCAGGCTGGTGACACAGGAGGCGTTCCTGTGTGGTCAGCAGCCGGCTCCGCATCCGGAAGCCGACGGCTGTCGAAGCACCGACACGAGCGCATCGCAGTGGCAAGCCAGCCGTCTTCATCGGCTTCTCCAAGGGTTGGAAACCAGGTGTCGTGACGATGACAAGGGGGATCGGGTGGCTTCCGACCCTAAGGGCTGGCTAACGGGGCACGCGCTTCTCATCCTAGGTGTTACAGTTCGAGCCCGGCCACCTCCGGAGGAGGGCCAGGGCGAAGCGCATGGCTCTCGTCGACATCCAGCTGGATCACCACGAGCGCTGCGACTGCATCTGCAGCGGGAGGCCTCCGCGGTAGGAGGCCGCGCACACGCCCCGCGCCCCGAGCGGGCCCCTCGCTCCCGGACGGTGTGGCAAGAGACCCTGTGGCAGCCGCAGCGAACCCCGAGGGGCCCGCAGAGCCGTGCCCGTGGCCGCCGAGCTACCCCAGCTGCCGGCCCGGCACGGGGAGAGGCCTACATCACCTATGCACAGGGTCGCATGTAGTAACCGTGCCGGAGAATGTGTACACGCGTCCTGGGGTGTGTGTGTGTGTGCACTCTCCGTGTCTGTGTAAATACACCAGCTGGGCTGTTCAGGGCGCACGGCCGGGTGCACCAGAGCTCACGTGTGGCAGAGGTGTTCAGACCCTTAAACTCTCATGACAAATTGAGGGACATATTAAATAGGTGAAACATGCCCTTGGAAGATTCAAAAGATTACTTTGGTTTTAAATTTGAATCAGGAAGCGACCTTGGATCTTGCTCTTTTAAAGAAAGCACTGTGGAAACTAAAAAGCAATAAACAGGCTTTTCTCATAGATATATCTTACTTATAAAAAAAAAAAAAAGGAAAAATAGGGTTTCTGGGTAAAAGGCACAGACCTAACCATGCTTCCCCGGGGACGCCCGCGCGCTCACCTCTGTAGACAATAATCACCTACCTACAGAAGCGTGCCATGATAATGTAGATGCTTTACAAATTAAGCCATTAAGTTGTCTTTTTATGCATCCTGCTGAGGCGTGCAAATACATTTAACACCTGTCTCCAAAAAAGTTCTCAGAAGGTTTATTATTAAAATCCTTCCAGAGACAGTTTATTAACTTAGCAGAAGTTTGAACTGTTTCCTTCTGAAAACCCCTGCACAGAAGGAACTGTGGAGAATGGCCCGGGGACTGCGTATGAGCCTTTCAGACTAGTGTCCGCCGGATTCGGGTAGTTGAAAGTAAAACCGTGAACACCGAATCATTAATGTGACTGGAAATCAGATGGAGTGTTCGGTTGGGTCCATAGTCAGTCACGGATCGCAACTCTCCCAAGTGCACTTCATGTCCCTGCTTCTCTGCCCCCGTCTCTCACATGCACACTGCATCTTACAGTCGGCAAACGTCCTGAATTATTTACAGCCTAACAGCTTTCACGTATTAACATGGCCTCATTGTACTGACGCCAGACCCTGATCGTCCCCTCACTCCCCATTGTGAGTCCTGCTCGTGGACTGAGTGGAGCCAGCCTGGGGCCCGTGCTTCTTTCCAGATCCGTGCAGCTTTGTTCCGAAAGGCCACCCTGCAGATGACGGCACGTGACGGCGGCCTTGCCGCGCCGCAGGTCATTCTTGGCGCCGAGAGCCACCGTCCCTGCCCGGCTCCTCAGCGTCTATTTTAAAGGCCCCCAAATCCAAGAGTAGTGAGTGACTCGTCATTCTCCAAAGCAGGAGAACAACCCTGAACTGCAGGGAGCTGTGGGGCTGCTCAGGGACGCCTCCGGTTGTCCTGCTGCCTTCAAACCAGAGCCAGTTTCCTCTGCGAGGCTCGGGCCCTGCGTGCCAACAGCGCTCCGGGCGAGGGCGAGCCCCGCTGGGCGTGCGCAGCCTACGTGCCTGCACTTGGACCTCTAAGCATGGGCCCGGCTCTCAGTTCTCCGCAGTGGTACCTTCCTGTCTTCTGGGCCCTTGCAGATGAAAGGCCATTTCATGGCGGGTGCACCTCCCGAGGTCCCTAGAAACCTCCAGTGCGTGTCCCGCAGCCGGGCCTGGGAAGAGCACTGTGTCGGTCGCTGGTCCAGAACCCCAGCGCACCGCCAGAAGCAGCCGAGGCGGGCGCTCCGGTCGGCAGGCACCGCGTCCCCGGTACGGCCACCTGCACTTTCCCCATGAGAACGTGGGCGCCCGCGGCTCCAGCTTGGGCAGCTCAAGTCGTAGCTCTAAGTGTGAAAAACCGGAACATTCCACCCATTTTCAGTAACCCTTCCAGGCTGCGGTGACCACGATGGTTTTCAGTTCAAGGCCTATCTGCACTTTTTATTTATTAGCTGAAACGTAAGCAGATGTATTCACTCACTTCTCTTCTTTTCCTGAGTGTTTTATTAAAACGTCTCCCTTGGTTATCCGTCATCTATTGCACTTCCAACACAGAGCTGATAAGTCTGTTTCATTGCCATCAAAGGAATAAAAAGCTTGCCGTACAAATTACCTTTCAAAACAAACCCTAATAAATCCGCATTTCTGCGTGGCCCACTCACCTGGAATAATGCCCTTCATTCACTGTGTCCTCACAGAGCTGGAACCTTCGGAAGCAGAATTTGTTATGCTTTTTGCTTTGAAAGGTGTACGGTGTTACACCGGCTTCCTGGGCCGCCCGCGGCTGACCGGGGCTCTGAGCCTGGGGGAGGTCCCAGGGCGAGGGTCCAGAAGGCGGGACAGCGCCAGTCTGTCGTCGGGCGGGTTCTCACCGGGACCCCATCCCCGAGCTGGGCAGCAGGGCGGGACCAGAGGCTTGGCTGTTCTGTTGTTACTTCCTGGGCTGTGTGCTTCCCCCACTGGCCTTTTAATAAAATACAGTCTCATCTGACATCGCTCCTACCGAGCACACAGCCTGTCTCTTCCTTCAGGGCCCACATCGGTACCGCCTGGACACCCTGGAACCTTTCCCCACGGAGGGTCAGGGCTCCCCGCCCCATGGACCAGGGTGGGTTCTCCAGGCCTGCAGACACTGGCTTCTGAGCAGGGGTGGGGGCGGGGAAGGGGGGAGGCGAGTGTAGGGAGAGTTCTTCTCACCAAGAGGAGCAGTGCCCTCAGAGTGGCTAAAATGAGCAAATCAGAGGACTCTAGATGCTGGCGAGGATGTGGAGAAACGGGCACCCTCCTGCACTGTTGGTGGGAATGTAAACTGGTGCAGCCCCTCTGGAAAAGAGTGTGGAGGTTCCTCAGGAAACTAACACTAGAACTCCCCTATGACCCAGCACTAGCACTGCTAGGAAGTTACCCAGGGGATACAGGGGTGCTGAGGCATAGGGGCACATGTACCCCAGTGTTCACAGCAGCACTCTCCACAATAGCTAAAACATGGAAAGGGCCTAAGTGTCCATCAACGGACGAATGGATCAAGAAGATGTGGTTTATCTATACCATGGAATACTCCATGGCAATGAGAAAGAATGAAATCTGGCTTGTGTAGCAACATGGATGGACCTTGAGGGTGTTATGCTGAGCGAAATAAGTCAGGCAGAGAAGGACAGATACCATATGTTTGCACGTATAGGAGGATTAGGAGGAACTTAACGGAGGACCAAGGGGGAGAAGAAGGGGGAAAATGGTGGGGGAAAGGGAGAGAGGCAAACCATGAGAGACTCTTGAATGCTGACAAAAACTGAGGACTGATGGATGTGGGGGGGAGGGGCATGGAGGAGGACACTTGTGGGGATGAGCACTGGGTGTTATGTGGAAACTAATTTGACAATAAACTATTTGTAAAAAAAAAAAAAAAAGAGGAGCAGTGCCCTTGCTGGAGGCTGGACAGTCTGGTGACCCTGGGCCACTCGATTTAGCTTCGCAGTTTCAGGGTGTTGGGGGAAGGGAGTAGAGACATTTATTTGTATTCTGTAGCAAGATCCAGTTTTACCAGGTGCCTACGCGGCTCTGTCAGTCCAGCGTCCGACTTTGGCTCTGGTCATGAACTGACAGTTCGTGGGTTCGAGTCCCACATCAGGCTTGGTGCTGACAGCTCAGAGCCTGGAGCTGCTTCGGATTCTGTGTCTCCCTCTCTCTCTGACCCTCCCCTGCTCACGCTGTCTCTATTTCTCTCTCTCTCTCCCTCTGTCTCTCAAAACCAAAAAATAAACATTAAAAAAAAAGAATTTTACCATCGGAAATATCAGCTAATGTGTGAGTCAAAGTGTGGAGAAGGGACAGGAAGGAATTAAATAATGCTGTGCATAGTTGTTAATTCAGATAACATGGATTTTTATACAAAAGTCATGCTAGCTATGTATGTGTGTGTGTATACATATACACATATATATACACACATACACAGTGTCTTAATACATATACACAGTGTCTTAGTGCAAATAGTTATAATCTTATTTCATTTCCCAAAGAAGTGTGCATGTGTCCAGTTTTACTCCGAGAATAACTTAAGAGATGTCCAGATTGTTCGTAGCCTCCCAGGCTCCTCTGATACAATATCAAATCAAAATTCATAGATTAAGGGGCACCTGGGCGGCTCAGTTGGTTAAGTGTCCGACTTTGGCTCAGATCATGATCTCACAGTTTGTGGATTTGAGCCCCACGTTGGGCTCTGTGCTGACAGTGCGGCTGCTTCAGATTCTGTGTCTCCTCCTCTCTCTGCCCCCTCCCCGCTCATACTCTGCCTCTCTCTGTCTCAAAAATAAATAAACTATAAATTTTTTTAATAAAAAGCAAAATTCATAGATTAGTATTCATGCCTGAAATTCCAGGCAATACAATTTTGTTTATTGACAGCTCTGATCAAATATGCTAGAAGAGAGAATATTTATAACTCACTGGTTTTTACTGGCCTCCCCTTCAATTATGTTGTTTTTGAAAATCCAGTTAAAGACTACACGGGTCTGCAAAATGTGAAATCAAACCCTGGGGAACCTCCTCAACATCGTGGCCAGGCACTTCATTAAGGCTTGGTGCTTGATCTTCATGTTCCAGTCCTGAATTTGCAAGTCAACTTGTACCTTTTTCAAAGACATTTTATGTCTTTAGCAGTCTGTAAAAATTCTTTAGCTGACCACATTAGAAGAGGCTGGGGCTGAGTCGGGAACACGGCTTCATGTTCTTCGTGCAGCAAGTTGTGGACCAAGAAATCTTCATTTTCTAATAAAACCATTTGGCTTTCTAGTTACTTTAAACTGTAGGGTACTGGCTCCGGGTTTAGTGGCCAGGAACCTAATGCTAAAATTACTCTTGGATTCGATTTACATTTAACATAGTTCCTGTGATACATACTGTCCTCTAAGAGCGTATTCTGGGTCATATTCTCCAACCCGTGTCACAAAGTCATTCTTTTCCACTGTCTTCTAGCCTGTCCTTTCTGCCTGTGACTTCCACGTCCCTTCTCATGCTCACTGGTCTCTACATACCGGTCTTAGGGTCACAGTCG